TATACTGTCGGTGGCGGTGACTTTCTTCTCGTGGAATCGCAGTCACACTATGAGGAGATCATCGCTTAATGCGACGTAATCCGTGGAGGCGAAAAATACTTTTCGAGTTTCATTTGCGGAAAGTTATATCGAACATCTAAATCTCTCTGTAGACTTTGTCTGTTGAGGTTTATTCTACGTAAAACGGGAAATCCACTATTGGAGTGAGTTCCAGGTTAGCAGTGCACTCTCGCGTGTGCGGTTCTAAAATGCTAAGTCAAAGAAGTCCTCATGTTTTAACAAAAGTCATGTTCCCATATGACATGGCGTATTCACATTAGTTGACGCTTATATTTGTGTAGAAAATTATAAAGCAATGAACCTCGATATGTCTAGCTGAATATATCAGTTTCTTAAACCTATCTACCGACTTTGTCAGCCGTCGTTATATGAACTTAGCGGATGTCATGGCAAGCATGCTGGCATTTGACATTTGAAGTGGGATTCGACGAACGCATAAATGATATGTACGAAGATTTACTTTAAAGGATAATAAAAGCGGGCGCACCCAAGTGCATGCCGCCAGTGTCTTTTGGGACTATTTCATATAGTGAAGTGACGACATAACGTTCATATTTGTCCAAGAACAGAGATCTGTGTGTTTCCGCATCGCTTAATCAAATATCAGTATTGATAGTCTACATTTATAGCAAAGATCTTTGAATGGCTACTGAATGCTAGACCACACATTCATGTACGTTAAGTTCTAAAGCTACTTGTTTGCTCAGTCAGTTTTGCCTTCTTTTATGGGATACCCAGGTGAATACTGTCGCTATAACTCAACATTTATTTTAAAAAAATCCTTCATGAATGAACTCTTGAACGAATTAGTAGAAATGCGCCATCGGATACCATAAGTATCTGGGTACCTTATCTAACATCTGCAGATGAACTACTGGAGACCGACGACTAGGTGAAAGTATCCCTTCTCTCTAGCTTATACAAATCCGTCTACACTCGAGAGCCGAATACTCTTGTTGCTGGTCCGTTTTCTGTCAGCAAATATTTACTCCCCTACCCGCCTCCTCATCCTCCAAATAGAGGAGCTTGAGTTTCAAAAGACATAGTCTGGGCTGAATTATTCCACCTTAAGCTTGCCAAATCATCTGGGCCAGACAAAATTCCTACACTCACATTACGAGAACAAACTAACTAGCTGTGCAAACCCTTTATCGTTCATCTTCAACTGGACCTTTGAAAAAGGCAAACTCCCGAAAGAATGGAAGTGGGCACTCGTCACCCCGATCTATAGGTAACGTTCACGACTTGACTGCCAAATTACGGCCCTGGAAGTCTAACTTGCATCGCATATAAAGTAATGGAGCGTATTATCAAGAGACATGTAATGGGGTTCCTGGAAGGAAACAAAATATTATGTGATGGTCAGTCCGGATTTCGTGCGGGGCTCTCTTGCCTCACAAATGCTCTTTACATGCATGAGCTGTGGGCAAAGGTCACAGATAACGGATGTCAATTTATGTCATATTTCTCGACTTCAGGAAGGCCTTCAATAGTGAATTCAACGGAGAATTTTGAAATGGATCAGCAGTTTCTTTTCTCTCAGAGAACGGAGGGTCATCGTTGGAAACTCAACCTCAGAATGGACAAATGTAGAAAGTGGTGTACGGCAAGGCTCAGTTTTGGGCCCACTACTCTTCCTAATCTACGTAAACAACTGCCCAAATGACCTAAATTGCACAGCTGTCACGTTTGCGGAGAACATAAAAATATGGGTTGAAGTTAGCTGTGCTGACGACGCAAAGAAGTTGCAATCGAACATCGATAAGCTGATTATCTAGTCCCCCACGTGCTTTCTTACCTTTAATGTATCCAAGTGTGTAGTTCTACACATAAGTCCCGGTCTAAAAGTATTGCAGGAACATAGTCATTTTATAAATGGCGCCTAATTAGAAGAGATTAATACGCACAAACATCCAGGCATGCGGATAACAGCAAAATTGATGCCAACAAAGCATTGTAGAAAGGAAGTACAGAAGGCAACTAGTACGCTGTATTTGATCGTACGAGCATTCAAATTTTCCAATTTTAACGTTTTGGAAAAAAATATTTGGAAAATTTGTAAGACCACATCTTGACTACGAAATACCAGTTTGGACACCGTGGTTAAAGATAGATGTAGACTTTCTTGAACAAGTGCAATAGAGGGCGAAAAAGATGGTCGATGGTCATGGGGACTTACCATATGAGGAAAGATTGATAAGGCCTGACTTATTTCCTTTGCGTTACATGCACTTACAATGTAGCCTTCTATGAACATTGAGATAATCCGGAGCCACGGTTCCTCCCTGATATTGGAAGACTCCTTCGAGTTAGCCAACACAACTGACATGCGTGGCCATCCTTCCAATGTCACAAACGAATACACTCGATTTGACTTCGGAAAGATTTTCTTCAGCCAACGAGTGGTACGACGTTGGATATCGCTACCAAGCGAAACGGTTTCCGCCAACACCACTGCTGATTTTAAAAGAAGACCTGATGGCATCTTGTTTGACAAAAGGCGAACAACACAACATGATTTCTTATTTGGAATATGGAATTTATATTTGTTGGCGTCAGGAAGGCACAGTCGATACAAAATTGGCTTCGTAAAACCAGAAAAAAGAATTTGACAAAGTGCGCAGATAAACGTAAAAGTTTGTAATAATGTCAGCCGAAATTGTCCTGTAAGGCAATATTTGGCAATGATTGGCAATTACTGATGACCTGAAAAATATAGACAGTTAAAAAACTCCAACAACAGAAATGGAGGCAGAGTTCAACGTGCCGCCATTTTCAAAAAGCGTGTAGAAGAAAAAACTGCTTCGAAAAATGGGAAAGAGAAGTAGAGTAGAAGGAATTCGGATGATGGTTAATAGCCGACGAAACGGCAGCAGTTTAGAATAAGTACGTCCATATGGTTTCTTTTGATTGAGTGGTGATTTATG